GAGATCTCTGTGTCTTGTTAAAAACGACTCCTCGTCGGGACCAATTATCGTAACGGGACTTTGCTTTGTATGGACTGTTAGTAAGGCCCAAGACCTGTGTTATGGGTTATGCTGGGCTAAATGGTATTGTCAAAAAGAGACCAGGCAGTGGGTTCGACCGTTGAGGGAGTAAAGGTAGAAAATTACGGCCAGTCTTTGTATACTAATTGGCTGGATAGAATAACTTACAGGTTCATGTTAGCCATAAGACGTTTGCGATGTAGCCCATACGTACGTATAATAACAAAGTGAGAGACCTTCAATAACATAGCTTAGTGAAATCGGTGTAAATGAAAAAGAAAAGGAACCAAGTCCGGACAAACGGATCCTATCTAAAATGACAGTTTGAAATAATACTTTCGTAAAGTTTTTAATAGAGAAATAGACAGTGATTGGTAAAAGTATGAGATGATATGTCTTACACTGGTTAGAATGCTATACGACAAATATAATATTACAACGGGTAAATCTTAGAACAGAAGCCCACGCGGAAAGATCAAAGGGGTAGAGCTATCTCATCGGTACAAATGTTGCATGCCTTAGTTATATATTTGTTTCGATGTTTTGGCCGCTTTTCTCATCCTGTTAACCACCGGTGTGTCGTCCGCGAGCCTTATTCGCCCACACAAAACGGTATACTCGCTTTTCTTTCTTTTTCAAATAGGAAAAATATTGTATGTATATTTCCGGGCTGTACGGAAAATATTTGTCGTTTTACATCAGACAAATTCACACATCAGTTTTTACAATCGGACAATTTCCTCATCACATCAAGATTAGCAGAGATGACAAAGGATCTTGACGACCATTACTGGATATATCTATTTATATAGATGTTAAAGACAAAATGACAGCCTCAACTATTTATCGAGCCAGCCCCCCCCACATGTTGCACCTTGCAATAGTTACTGCGACTGATAACGATCTGGCAGGTAAAATTGAATTTAATACAAGTTGAATGCTTTAACTATCTTCAATCGTAAACAACTCATCAGACCCAGTCGAATGCGACAGATTCAGGCCAGAACAAACCAACGAAACTAACTTTTAAAAGCACTCATAAATTTAGGCTGTATACATGCAAACGACGCGTATACGGTTCTTCTGTGAAGCACGTAAGGAAAATAATGATAATACGTACATTTTTTTTTCATCGTACATCATTTACAAGGCGTCCGCTTCACTTCCAATAATAAAAATGTGACCAAATCCAGTCCGATAATGTGCGTGACGGCCGTGTCGTAATTTTTATTAGATTTCTTTATAAAATAGCTTAAATGCTCGTAAAAGTATTTTTTCTAGACTCTGAGTTATAATTTTGCTGTGTTTTGCTTTTAAATAAGATCTACAATAGCATTCATAGACAATCGCTTCCACGAAGGCCACGAACCTAATACATGCTTGTTTGTTAAGCTTAGTTTTTTGTTGTTATTTGTCTATTTATTTACGTTTGACCGTTACGGTGACGTTTTTCTGCGATAGTGATGTATAATGCGTTAAAGCCTCTTCGGTGTTAATTAGGGATGGCTCGTCGTAGAATTTATGGAGTAACGACACAACACAATAACGCAATTTAAGTAACACAATAACGTGTGTGTGTGTGTGTATATGTTTAAACATGTGTATTTAAACCTTTGCGACACTGAACTTTCGAAAGAGATAAATGCTGTTTCTGGGCAGCCGAATTAAGCAATCATTTTTATTTGTAGCGAAGAAAATTTCTGGAAGTTCCAATTCCTAAATTTTCACTTGTCAGTGATGGTCTGATTACTGAAGGTGACGGCTCCCGAATAGAGGCAACTTCTAATGTCCGATGTATCGTTGGGCCAGACCTATTTTTTTCAGAAATACTGTCAATTCATCATAAGATATAGTTTGTCTAAACTCGACGACTCCATTTTAGCTTCCATTCTGATGCTCCATGCTATTGGGACATGTAGCAGTTTCTGACATCTATTATAAATGCTAAATTATAATAGGAGCAGATTTAAAGTAATGGTATAAATGGAATAATCGTAGCCCTATGCTACTGTTGTGTCCGTTATTGCTATAATTATATTTCGGTTCAGCCTTTCGTGTCGTTTGATATTCAAGTACAAAATGGAGGCCTTTCGAGAAGCAACAAGAAATGGAAAACGTATTTCTATTACTTGCCGCATTTACTGCATTACCTTGCCGAGATAGGACGCAATGTGTCCTTAGAAGTCCGCCCCACAGCGCCGATAGCAACAATAAATCTGGAAGGTCTCAAGTGCAGTTATGCTACCGCACTTTCGAACTATTACAACTATAGACTCGTGATACGATTATCCCTATCGTATAATATATGCGCGCTCCTACGCATTACAAAGCCAACGGCCTGTCAAATGGTAAAGACAGCCTACGTTTAGTCGATAAAAGTAGCCTGATCATTTAACCTAAGCCGCGAACACGATTTGTGATCGTGCCTATTGCGATTTGTGATTAGACCTGCCTACGGCAATACCAAAGACAGTTGCTTGCCTATCGTATCTATATGCTAGGCTGTACGCCCGAATCTAACTAGGCCAAACTGTTTCCTAGCGCAAAATCTAGCGTGCCAGTAATCGCCAAAAAATTCACTTTTCATTCAGAACTGATTTCAGGCTCGTACTAGTAAATTGATGTCCACGTATTTGCATACACAGAGACATTCTAAAGCGTCCGAAGCGAAGGGCGTCATCTTTAACGTAAATTCATTTGGCTAATCAGAGAACACATAGGGGTAACGAGTTCGTTTGATTTAGTTTTCCAATGCAGGATGCTATCGCTTTCGAGACGCATCAATAGCTACCTAGACGTCTGTTACGGAACCTCATAAGGATCACAAATATGGCATGTTCAACGAACATTCTGCCTTTAAAAAAAATATTCTTTTCGAATGCCAGAGTCTATGAGCTAAGTAAATTTAGCGCTACCCCTCGAGCCATTACCATATATAACGCCATCGAGAATGGTTTGTTACACCTGAGCTCATTAAAAAATCGTTAAGAACTTAGCCAGCAACCTCTTAACTTCGCTTATCGTAATAAGAAAAAGGGGACCTGAGCGATGTTAGATCCGGACGAGGTCCGTATGCTATGCTGATGAGAGCTTACGTATTACCATATTTCACGATACTCATTAAAGGTTAATTAAATGTTGGCTTCCCTCGAACTCGGGGATAACGTCAAAAACGACTGCTATGTGTACACAAGTATTGTTTACTCATGGAGTACTAGCATGTTGGAAAGTTCTATCGAAATATAGTCGTACTTATGAGGCGAAACAGAAAGATCAATGAAATATTAAGTAACAGGGTTGGTAAATGTCAGTTGATCCAAGAATGTAAACAAAGGTCACCGGGCAAAGATCTCGGAGGTTTAAATTCATATATATATATATATATATATATATATATACAGTGTACCTATAGAATATTAAGAAACTCAACTCTCTGGGAGCAATAGCTGTCTCAAATAGTAAATTCTGCTTCGGATTTCATCAGCCATTTAAGGCACTAGTTAAATTAAATGAGTTAAATTAAAGGCGCTAATGTTCTCTAACTTCATTTCTCGCGTCTTCATTCTTCTCTTCGAATTCGAACATTATTCTTCGTTATTATTAAAACAAAGGAGGAAAGTATTTGCGCAGAGGTTTGTCTTCAACGTTTTCCAATGGACTGCGAATATTTTCGAGCACCTACCTATTGTGGTCTATTTGCCGCGGCCAGTAATTGCAGCTCGACAATTGCCAATGATAAAACAGTTCGACCTTAATAAAGAAGAACTTTACGAAAGCGATAAAAAACTGTTTGGCTGCCAATATCTAATACATTAGGTGGATGGATGTACGCATACCTGGATGGCTCCGGCCATTGATTCGTTTAAGCTACGGCCAGCAGAAAAAGGACTTGGGCAGCCATAATACGATACCATTTCAATGCCCGATTTCATAGTCAACATCAAACGAGTCACGTTACTAAAAAACCCCGTAAATTGGATCAATGTCGTGACCGCTTTTGATTTAAATTTGTGGCACGACAAATTTGTGATACAAGTTTTCATAGATAAGGTTATGCAGACGAATTTGAGTATGGTTTCCCTCAAAGATATTATGTCTCAAATCCCGTGTAACAGCAAGATAGCACCATTTCTAGTAACTTGTGTAATAATCCCCTAAAACCCGCTATCTCTTAATAGTAATAAATATATTAATGGTCAGCACTGCACTCGTTTCGATGACCCTCGTTGCGGTTTATTCAGTAAACGTCTTGTAATCCGCTGCTTAACGCAACGTTTATTTGTGCATTGAAGATTCAGAACATCTTAGACTTTATTACTTTAAATTCCCAGTTTCTCGCTATGCGATGATGGGGAGCTCGAAGATATATTGTCGTTCTTACTGGCCCATAAATGCTTGACAAGGGTTTTCATTTTGAAAAGATATCACAGCGTTAAGATGATTCACTTCATACAAAAGCTAGCCATCTAAACAAAGGCAAATACTTCTCCCAGGAACGTTTGCCGAGACCTATACGCACCTGTACAGAACTCGAGATTGCCTTCAATGCGATGCTCCAGGTAAGCCTTCGATAGAGAGTATTAAGATATTATAATATGTATAGACTAGAAATGCATGTTGACCATTCACCTCTTAGACGATCGTATAAGGCTGCGTATAGGATTAGAGTCAAAGATGGCTATTATATACATTATATTAGGTTGTTTTGAGCTGGGATTGGAACCAAGCCAATAATAGGAGTCGTTAAAGGCGGCATAACAAAAAAGATGCATACTTAGTATTGACGGTGTATTACTTGAGCAGGTGATCCTGCCATATTTACTGTAAGAATGACTGGTTAACGTCCTGTAATTGAATCAACATTAAAGGTGCGCAGAGATGATGGAGTAAATGATCTTCTTGTTAGCAAGATTAGAAATTAATTTTTGCAACTAACTTACCTTCCCAAGTCGCCATATTCTAAATACGTCGAGTCGATTATTTCCATTTCCTAACTGTGAAATCTGCACCCACACTACTGTGTCCTTTAGCTTGAAGTCGGCGTCACCCTGGAACAAAAGATGCCTGTAGTCATGGATCACCTTATATTTAGCCGCGCCGATAATATTGTCCACTCTAACAACGAGACCAACGGTAACATCTCCATGCTTACTGCACTTTACGTACGCAGGTTTCTGGCGAGAAAGCGTGTGCACCCCACGCACCTGCAGATCATGCAGAAAGATCTGAAGTGAGTCCTCAACGCACACGGTTATATTTGGGCCTGGAATAGGCTCCATGACTCGAATTAGACGCCGCGCAAATCGGAATAAATAGTCGACGTAGTCATCGAGCTCTGTGCCATTGTTACAGGGCACCTGCCGCCGGGACCGATGATGCGGCCGAGAACCTGTTTCTGTCTGTATTATCCGAATATCTTGAACAATCTGAAGTCCTGGAGATCCGCGCGGCTTTTCGATGCCGTCGCAAGTCGCTCCTTTGCAGTGCGAACCAACACCAAACGTCAGAGGCACATCATCACGCAGAAGCAGCTCTTCAAGTACCCGGGCAACATCAGGCTTTGCTCGTCTCATGGCCTTATCGATATACTGTCCAAGAGTCCGCTCTAGACGCAGTCGGCATTCATCTACCAGTGCCATTCCCAGTGTTTCAAGAATTTCTGCTGAAAGCTCGTGCTTTTCTGCCGTCGATGTAAACGTAAAGTCAACTTCGTTCATGTGCGTGCGCACACCCGACTGTGCAACATTGAGCTCGCCATTCTTTTCGCCCACAAGTCGGGCAAACCACGAGATAGCTGGCCGATCTACATGCATTTCAAAGAGACCTCCATCATAGATCGTGCTTGAATTTGCTTGGTTGTTGATAAAACCCTTTAATTTAAACATTGACTTCAACCGCATTTGGGCCGCCCGTAGAAGAACGGACGCGCGGAGATGCTGCGTACTCGTGGCCACGTCCAAGACACGCAGGCTATTCAGTCCTTCGATTTTCACTCGCGACAGTGTGACATTTACATACGTATTCTCATCCCGTATCAGCACACTTAGCCCACCGAGATCCAGCGGGCTGGCGTATCTGGCCGCCGATAGTACTTTCTTTGCTATCGTTCCATGAAACGCTATTAGATCGGTTTCATTTAAAGCACTTATTCTACCAGCAAATTGTGAGAGTTCTAATTCAGGAATGATCGCGTCACCGACCCTGCCAAAAAGCACCAACATTCCGAAAATCGTGCTCCACCTCATCCGCGAGGTCGTGTTTATGTTCACAGTCATTGCTGACTCTATTGTAATGACCAGTGTCAAGATCAGCCTCGGTCACACTTTCTATTCCAACCTCACCGACAATCACAGTAATCCTTCCCAGCCCTTCTAGTTTCTCCGTGTTTTCACACCATCGACATATGGCCGTATGGGTTGCTCAGCGCTTGCATTTCACTTTTTTTCATTTGCTGATTGACATTTATAGGCGCTATTATCGGCTACGAGGATCCAATTCGTTAATTGTATGTAGCTCACACAGCCTGTCGGTATTGCTACGCGGCCAGCTAATGACAAATCGACACTAGTCTACTGGCATATTGGACCGCATTAACAAGATAGGCATAAATGAACGACTCATAGAATCCCGCCCGCTTAAACACAATAACAGCAGCAGGCGCAACAACAAGAACAACAACAACAACAACAACGGTGAAAGCAATAGCAACCTTTTACTTCAGCACGCCGACCTGTCTGTGTGCCGCATTTGGTTATATGATGGCTCTGTAAACCCGTTACTAGCATCTAGTCTATTTTATAGTTACAAATTATGCTGCACATGCACATATACAAACACAAAACTGATACGGAGACTTGTCAGCAATCCCTTTTCAAATAAGCACGATCGCTGTTATGTGGGGTGTGTCGCGCGCGTCACTGATTGTTCGTTAGACGCTACGTTCTCGCTGTAGCGTCAATGGGGCTCAGCTGGCGACTTTAGTTTCATCCGCCGCCGGCTGGTTTCAGAGCGAGTAGAGCGCAGACAGGGCAAACGAAAATGCAAAACAGACGAAGCAGTAATTTCCGGTAAACGACAGCAAAACAGCGAACTGCCCACGTTCAGATTTACAACAAGAGACAGCGGCAGTGATACCTTAAGTTAGTTAGTTAGTCAGCCCTTCAGTAGCATCGGGACCAACCGGCCTCGATGCCTCACCACAAAACGTTACGAAGGGCACAAACATACGACAGGAACAGCAAAAGCAGAGTTAATCTTAGCGCCACCGTTACTGCGATGCTATGACGATTGCGACTGACTACCACGACTTCTGCATAACGTTCCTCCCAGACGCTGAAGAAAAATCGGCACCAGCTACCGGCACACACGCGCACAGTCAGACGCTGTAGAACTGGCTAACGTTGCTTGCAACGTCGAAGTCGCAGCATCGAAGCGCCGACCCGGCTCCAACGCCAAGCTAAATAATGGTCCAATGTATTCTAATGGAAACAGTGCAGGTGGTGAAGATGCCGACTGGAACGCGGCGAAGAAGGATCCAGTCGCTAGAGAAGACCAGATAAGTGTCTCAGAACTGGCGGCTGGCAACAGTGTTGTCTTACGTTACGTACTGCCCCGGTGTTAAAAAACCAACCCACAGCAGCCTGGGCCTGGGAAGCGTCTGGTTCCTGCTGTGTTAGGTTCTATGTTTCGGGTTCGTTGCCTGCAACTTGCTTGTCTCGTTTGCTGAACTGCCCGACTGGCAGTCGTTAGCAGCCACCGCAGCAGTGGTTACAATGACTACCAAATCGATAGCAATTGATAGACTGATTTGGCGAAAGCATTGCTCATCGTGCGACGGCCCGCTGCTGGTACAAACATTCGCGCGATGGCAAGACGACGCAGCTGTTGTCGTTGATAGAGCAAGAAGCGGTTTGTAAGCTAGCAAAACACCTCTCGCAGGTGAGGGGGGATAGTCATCGTGTCGGCTGAGGGCTGACAACTCCTTATTTATTCCGTCGAATTCGATGTCGGTCACTGCCATTTACAATGTCCAACCGTGTATACAGTAACAGTGTGCGGTACGAGTACAGTGGTTGACGAGCCGGCTAAGGACATAAAAAAGGACCTACAGGCCATATAGCAAATTCATTACTAACGCATTTGACCATCGGGTCACGATAGTTAAACTGTGTGGTCCTGAACTGCAGCGGCAACCTCTTAATACACAACAATCGGGAAGGAAAAGGCGAGGGCGAAGAATATTATCGCTGAAGGTCGAAAAAAACCCAGCTGGAATATTATGCGATATAACATAGTACCGCTTTGCGAACCATCTGCTAAAACAAGTTCTGTCGTATCAAGAATCGTTAAAATATTTATGGCTGACAAAACAGCAGCAAATTAATCCGTGCCATTGAAAACTGGGCAGGAGAACAAACTGTTGACCCGTTCATATTGATATACTATCCACATGGGCTACATCGATGCGTTAAACCGTAACGCTTCCAAAAAAATCGTGGAGTATTCATTAGCTTAAGAATAAAATACACATGCGTATTCATAGATCAATCCGAGTTACTGCCGATATTCATCGATATCGTAAGAGACAGTGATCCTGCCGTTACACTAGGTCACTTGCTCTCATAGCTTCCTCCGTTGCCAGTGCTGCTTGGGTTAGATAACAATGACATAAAACGCTCAGTGATTAGTATTAGAATACAGCGGAAAGATGGGGATGTTGTACTCACGTTTGAAGTCACAATGCGACGGGCGTACTATCATCATTCCGTTATCAAGTCATAAACATTTCGGAACAGAAGTGACAGTAAAGGCCCGTAATGGGATGGGGTAACAACAGGTACTGCTAATCTTTATATACTTGTTTCGATGAGCAAAACCTCCTGAAGCCCAGAGTCAAATGCTATTATTAGATGGATTTGACTGCACAACAAATGTGTACTAATTGATTTTATCGTATTAAATACCACGACGGCTCCGCTTATCGGTGCCTATACCTATACGATTTTATAGGTGTATGCCTGTCTATAATTTTGCTGGGCATCTAGTCGACACAGGAAGACTAAGGGTATGCCAAACCTTACTGCTTTTATAAGGTATAGATGACCGCAATGGGGCAACCGTCCCGATCGTCCAGTGTTGGCCGTGTCGGACGCTGTACTTTTGCTTTGGTCAGCCTGTAGAGAATCGATAATAGCCATATTGATGACAAAGCTACTAGAATGGCGGGATGGCTTTGCCAAAATTTGATCTACTTAATTAACAACGATGGCAACAAAAGCGGCATGAAGTCTGCTGGGCCACGCGGACAGCTGGCCTTAGCAGCTGGAGGTGTTTGGTCCATGTTGCACTAGAAAAAATACGAATGAGTGGGTCTGATCGCTTCTCGTAGCTATGTAATATGTACCCCAATAGTTGTTCCCAAAGGATGAGAACGTAGTGAATATGTTAGTAATTCAATACAGTTTTACGGTAAGAAAATACATTTTGCTTGAAAATTAACAGTTCGCCCGCTACCTGATAATCGGCGGCAGAGACTATTGGGGACCAACAGATAATCCGTCCCCAAGAGGCGCACAGATCAGCTCTAGATCAGCTTACTGAACACAATAATCGCTGCTTTACGGGAACAGGCCAATATTCAGCGGCATATATATGGGGACATATGAGCCCCCGCACACTACTTAGGCACGAACATTCTTTTCGTTAGGATGACAATACCAAGATATTTGTAAAATTGCTCCATATATACTATGCAGATGTATAGGTAAGGTAATGAGGATGTCGGTTAGCGCACTTGTCACCGTCGATCCATTCGATTGTCTGACTAAGTAATGATCAACGGCCAATATCTCTCTCTCTCTCTCTCTCTCTCTCTCTCTATATATATATATATATATATATATATATATATATATATATATATATATATATATATACTTAGTGATATCTGTAACATGAAAAGAGTAAAAGCTTAAAATAATTTCTAAAATTTCGTAAACACCTAACGACGCTGCGAAAGCACATAAGAACCGGGCGGTGGATTAAAAACCCATGCTATAGTGATATTGATGTATGGAACTACGATAAAAAGTTAACTTTGAAGGTTTTATCTTGTTCTTTTAACGGTAACCATGATAACGTTTAGCACCATCGTTAATGAACCGGATGCCTCGTACTATACGTGAATTCTACTTAGTTTAAAATTGATCCTTGCCGCAGCTCAAGCAACATGATGCCCAGTCGACAGTGGCGATCGCTTCTAGCCCTGCCGCAGGACGATACGGTTATGCCTCTATAGTGTGCTATACTGCCAGGCAGATTTGCTTGTTCCTATGCGCACCGTGTTTATTGGTTGGGTTTTGTGTCCCGATTGATTAAGCGTCTCTTGTTCGCTTGGCTGATATCGTATTTAGTGTATTATCGTTATTCTAATCCGATTGTGCGGTGAACCAGAACGCTGCTTGACCCCTCATATCGTCTGGCTCATCGGCCCACCGACGCGGTGATGCCTTCCTATCAAACTTCAATAGCGACGTACAAGTGTTATTGTTGCCGTGGTCGTCTTCCTCATCGAAGTCTATACCTGACTATCTCTTACCCTCAATTCCAAAAGGAGACACCCACCCACTGTCTACTCACCGCCCACACATACACACTCATAGAGTGAATCGCATAGACAAAACATGCGAACAGACGGCGATGGTCTGTCTCCGTACATTATCGTCGCCATGAGGCTGCGTTCTGCGTGCACATTTTGACTAAATGCCGGCCGATCGACTATTGCTCTCCAGCTATCTGCTGCCTCCGTCGCTAGTTTCCACAAGCTTTCGAGCGCGCGACGATTCTGTTGGGATGAGATTGGCAACGATGGGACTGTCCATTAATCCTAGGCTTCTATTGCCACTGCGACTGCCCGCCAACCGCTGGCCCTCGAATGGAGCCCAGGCCTCCAGAGAATTCGAAAGTTAGCGCGCTCCCTGTCATCTACCTTCCTCTTTTCCGTAAGAAGGTTGCTACTGTTGCCTCAGTTTGAAAAGCAGCCAGCAGACGGGCAGCGACAGCGAGACTCGTGGGGGATTGCCCGTTCAGTCTCCAACCAACCGACCGAACGCTCGCCCACCAACCGCCGCCCTCGTTGTTGTTGTCAGCAATAGAGCTGTTCTAACGTTGGGTCAGTACTAGCAGGCAGTGGAGCTGCCTCTACCAATAGTTGTAGCAGCAGTAATGGCAGTGGTCCCGATGCGAGGAGGTTGAGAATCGGGGATACGCTAGTTCTGAATAGAAAGGCAAACGAGCGGGTGGTGGAGGGTTGTAGGGTTGAGACCGAGGAGAGATCAGGGGTCCGGTGGGTTCGCTGAGACAGTAAATGTTCATGGAAGGAAGGCACCACACTCGCTCGTTTACTCGTGCGGGAAAGGGCGCCAATCTCGAAGGGCGGAGGGTGGTCGAAGCGAGAGAGCAGCCTGCTGTGCTGTCTGTCCCTCTGATGATCCAAGATGGTAGCCGTCTGTGGCCTGTGAGTATCGTGAGCATGGCGGCCGTGTTCCGAGTGCCCCCCAAGCCTGTCGTCTCGATGTCGGCCCCCCGCGTTTGCCCAGTCGCCGCCGCCCGCGCTACTGTTCGAATCGCCGCCCTCCACTATCCTTGTCTCATGGCCGCCCTGCAGTCCGCCAGTGTCTAAACGCGCAGCGCCTCGGCAGAGAGGCCGCAGGGCGGCCAAGCCGAGTTCGCCAACTAATACCAACCGAAATTAACCAGCGTTATCGAAGCAAACAGACAGCAAACGTGGTCCTGTGTACCCAAACCATTCCGAACCATTTGGCCCTGTTCCGTCTTAGAACTGTAGCAGGCAAATGGCCTTGCTTCAGCTGGTTGATTACATCTGATTTGCGGTTAGCCAGAGAAAAGTCACTCCGGTATCGAAGTTCCGCTGTCATCATAACATTTTAGTCCCCCCTCCCACACATGCAAAGATCCACCTGGCCGGTGTTTTCTAAGTAGCTTGGTAGACTACGGTGATTGCTAGCTCAGTTCACTAAAAGCGATTCATTCAGATCATACACATTATCGACGCAGCGCTGTAATCATGGTTATCATCGAGTTGTGTTAGGTGAATCTGTTTCATTGCCTGTTTTTCGTATTCGTAACAAGTTCTGCACCAACTACAATTGCTGCGGGCATCGTTTGCCCTTCATCGCAGTAGAGTGCTGCTGGATCGTGGTAAACGGTATTGTTCAGCGGTAGTAGTATTTTACATTCATATATATACATATATATGAATATATATGTATATGTATATATATATATATATCGTGCATGGCGATTTCTTCTACCTGCTGGTTTGAGGATAAAGTAGTTGTTACACCGAAGAGCAGAAACAAGAAGGAGATAGCGGAAATAGAAGAAAAGGATCAAAAAAGCACGAAAGCGCGCGGCGATAGTGCACAGATATGAGAAAGTGCGACGAAGAAGTGGCAATGTTCGAAGGAGTTGTGTGATGAGGTAGTGTTTGCACGGAAGTCGCAAGTGAGAGCGGTTACAATCGTCGCCGTTGAGGGTTTCTCTCTGTCGCTACCATCGGCGCCACAGCTGCCGCCCCCAGAACGTGACCAGCCCAATCGAATACCCATTACAGCGCGGATTCATTCTGTGGTCATGTGTTTACAACTACGCACGGTTTCGGTGTTGTACGGTCGTTTGGCGTCATCATCGCCAACTTCGTCGCCGTAGTGGCCGGGCTCGTGGGGTGCGCTGGCGTGCTTCTGGTGGTATCGTGCTCCTCAGTGAATAGACGGGAAGACGGGGCCAACCTTTGTGCAACCCCAATCGTCGGTGGA